GGGGTTCGGGTTTAGGATTTAGGGGTGTCAGTGCGTTAAAGGCATCTTGGGCTGTATGGCTCAAGGGCCTGGGAATTTCAGGGAGTTGGGGGTAGAGTGGATATTGAAATAAGTTCTCTCAAGTCTGGGTTGCAAGGTTTCATAGGATTTTGAGAGTTCGATGCAAGTTCTCTTACCGTAGGCAACCGTAAGAATCATGAACCGATTCTTCAGGTGTGCATTCGGGTACCTTATGGTTCGAAACTCCCAAGACAGCTTTCGGGTTTGTAGGACCGCGAGCCTTTTAGAGTATTTGTCGGGGCTTGGGGGGCTTTAGGTTTGTTTTAATAAATTTTGGCCAGGCCATGGAGCATTGGAGTTGTTGAAATACTGTCTTACCATGATTGTCTGGGCTTTGAAGTAACCAAGGAGNNTTCATAATGGTTCCTTTAAGGGACAGATCCCCAAAAAAAGTATCAACGGATGGCATTCCACAGCCCAGTATTGTGTGTGTATTGTGTGGGGGACGGTCGGGCCAGTATTACTAAACAGTACAGGCCCGTACACTATCCTACAAAAGACAAGAGCATTATCTGGTTAGGGACGTGTGCAGAATGTCTTCAGCAGTTTTGTCCTGTTTTCGGATGTGGGCAGACTCGACTTCTAGTGGGCACAGGCATGCTTCTGTGCACAGGAAGCCGTGTCGGTTCGCACATCTTTCCTTGCAATTCATACTCCAAAGCCCTTAAACCTGAAACCCAAGCCCCGTTCAAGCATCGACACACAAGTTCGAAACCCAAAACAGGCACTGCCCTTCCAAACTCGACAAACCGTGAATCAATGATTATCATGATGATGGCAATCATGGTGCAAAGGTGTGTAGCTATTCCTCGCCATTTGCTTGATCCCAGCAGTGACGGCGACAATCATCTTGCTACTGCTTTTGACAGTTTTCGGCCTATAGTGCCCCTCACCGCAGTCATACTGACCAGGGCAAAAACTGCAATGCCTGAAACGTCCTTATGGTCAGGTTGATGATGCTGGCAACGGCAAACTCATGCTTTCAATGTTGTTGCTGATGCAAGATTACCAGTCCCCCCAAACCCCAGGCTCTAAACCCTGCATCCCAAACCCTACACACCAAAACCTCTACCCTAAACTTAAACCCTAAGCCCCAAAACCTTTTCAACAAACACTAAATCCCAAACCCCAATATCTTTACCCTCAAGCCTATAATCCCTAAACCAAGGCCTAAATCCTAAAGCCAAAGCCCCAA